AATTCACGATCTATACCGCGGCCACAAGAAATCATAGCAGGGAATGGGTTTACAATCACATGCTAAGCTCTTTGGTCCATATATATGGGCCATGTGCCACCAAAGAGAAGGTCCGCCTCGGAACCATTGTCCATTGAGAGGAAATGAGTCTAGCCTATGAATGGTGTGCAGGGCCTGCCCCTTCATCTGCTTCAGAACTCTGTGCTGCAAGATGTGGACCCTAGCAACCAAGGGTCGTCCCGTGCGCCGCACGCCAACTGGCCCCACACCATCCATGCACACGCGGCCAACTAGACACTCACCGGTCAACCTTGACAATGTACACAAGACGCATGTGCACTCATTAACCATCTAGCCCCCAGCCATACACACCTAGCCAGCTTCACTCAAACCATGCACCGTTTGCCAAGTTCACCCACACCATCCATCCATTATGGACCCCACCTCGGTTCGTTGGACCTCCGACACGAGTCCCTTCCCTCGGCATGCCAGGTATGTCAAAGCAACACGCCACTACACATATTGCACACCGAGATACGATGTCATTCACTGGTGTCGGCAAGCCTATGCACCTGAGCATCTCTACCCATGGTGGACACTAGCGCATGGTTAGGATCGAGAAGTCTAGCGGCACATGATGTCGGCCCGATTGGCTGGGGGTGCATGACATGGGTCCAGATGAAACGCATGGCATCGCATGGATCCACATTCCCCTGCTCAATACTAGACAACGGGCATATACCAGACGAATCCAAGCGGTCGCTGACGAAGCTTGGAATCCTTATGTGCATGCTGAATTTCATTATTTAGGAATTATTAACAAACGAAAACAATAATTCAAGCGTCTATGTAAAGGTGTACAACATAATTTTCAATAAAAATGAAAAATGACACATGCACATGCAACTTGCCAACAAGTGCACTTGTAGTACAAAAAGACAACATGTGCACGTATCCCACCATGCCTTCTACAATTTTTGTTCCATGCTTTTCGCCACATATATTTGGAAGGAAAAACAAAAGAATGTGATTTTCCCATCAAAACCGTAATGGCAAGATGGTTGCAACCAACCAAGATAGATAGTGAGTGGAAGTTGTCCCCCATGGGGAGATTGGATCGACCACTCCTAGATTATAGGGCGAGGCCACCGTGAACGTCATCGTGAGAGGGTGAAGAAGGATTCGTTTTTTCGAGGGAAAGGAAGTAATTTTGTGGGTTTACAAAAAAGGAATGAACCCCTTTTTGAGGGACAAAAAAATGCACGTTATAATTTGTAATTAATGAAATTATAATTTAACAGAAACCTTGCTATTTTCAAGCAATTTAAAAACAACTTACTTGTTTTGGCAAAAAAAATTTAATAATGCGATAGTCCATTTTTTGGACACTTACGTGTAGTGGTGCATGTTGTGCAAATTGGGGTGGAAGTCTTGTGCTAAGCTAATTTGCCGGGTGCGGCATGTGAGTCTACATGGGGAATGGTTTGCTTGGGGGCCGATGTAAGTGGTGTGGGTCTACTGCGTAAGTGGTGCGCCACGTGAGTCTAGACGGTGTGGGTGCATGGTTTGGATCTAGCTACCTTGAGGTAGCACATCTGGTTTGCGCACTGGGTGCGGGCCCGTTCCTCCGTTTTCATCGGTGCTTTCTCTCAGGTCAACGGAGAACAATCCAAATGTGCATGCTAGGTGCCAGCCTTTCTTGGGTCCCGCGTGCCATATTCGGGACAGTTGCCGCATTCCTAGGGCGGTATCATCGCGAATTCACGATCTATACCGCGGCCACATGAAATCATAGCAGGGAATGGGGTAACAATCACATGCTAAGCTCTTTGGTCCATATATATGGGCCATGTGCCACCAAAGAGAAGGGCCGCCTCGGAGCCATTGTCCATTGAGAAGAAACGAATCTAGCCTATGTACGGTGTGCAGGGCCTGCCCCTTCATCTGCTGCAGAACTCTGTGCCGCAAGATGTGGACCCTAGCAACCAAGGCTCATCCGGTGCGCCGCACGCCAACTGGACCCACACCATGCATGCACGCGCGGCCAAGTAGACACTCACTGGTCAACCTTGACAATGTACACAAGACGCATGCACACTCATTAGCCATCTAGCCCCCAGCCATGCACACCTAGCCAGCTTCACTCAAACCGTGCACCGTTTGCCAGGTTCACCCACACCATCCATCCATTATTGACCCCACCTCGGTTCGTTGGACCTCCGACATGAGTCCCTTCCCTCGGCATGCCAGCTATGTCAAAGCAACACGTGACTACACATATTGCACACAGAGATACGACGTCATTCACTAGTGGCAGCAAGCCTGTGAACCTGAGCATCTCTACCCATGGTGAACACTAGCGCATGGTTAGGATCGCGAAGCCTAGCGGCACATGATGTCGGCCCGATTGGCTGGGGGTGCATGGCATGGGTCCAGATGAAACGCATGTCATCGCATGGATCCACATTCCCCCGCCCAATACCAGACAACGGGCATATACCAGACGAATCCAAGCGGTCGTTGACAAAGCTTGGAAGCCATGTGTTATGTGCATGCTGAATTTCAATATTTAGGAATTATTAACATACGAAAACAATAATTCAAGCGTCTATGTAAAGGTGTACAACATAATTTTCAATAAAAAAATGAAACATGACACGTGCACATGCAACTTGCCAACAAGTGCACTTGTAGTACAAAAAGACAACATGTGCATGTAACCCACCATGCCTTCTACAATTGTTCCATGTTTTTTCGCCACATATCTTTGGAAGGAAAAACAAAAGAATGTTATTTTCCCATAAAAAACCGTGATGGCGAGATGGTTGCAACCAACCAAGATAGATAGTGCGTGGAAGTTGTCCCCCGTGGAGAGATTGGATCGACCACTCCTAGATTATAGGGCGAGGCCACCGTGAACGTGAACGTGATCGTGATAGGGTGAAGAAGGATCCGTTTTTTTGAGGGAAAGGAAGTAATTTTGTGTGTTTACAAAAAAGGAATGCACCCCCTTTTGAGGGACAAAAATAATTACGTTATAATGTGTAGTTAATGAAATTATAATTAACAGAAACCTTGCTATTTTCAAGCAATTTAAAAACAACTTACTTGTTTTGGCAAAAAAATGTTGATAATGCGATAGTCCATTTTTTGGACACTTACGTGTAGTGGTGCATTTTGTGGAAATCGGGGTGGAAGTCTTGTGCTAAGCTATTTTGCGGGGTGCGGCATATGAGTCTACATGGGGAATGGTTGGCCTTGGGGTCGGTGTAACTGATGTGGGTCTAGTGTCTAAGTGGTGCACCACGTGGGTCTAGACGGCGGGGGTGCATGGTTTGGATCTAGCTACCTTGAGGTAACACATACGTTTTGCGCACTGGGTGCGGGCCCGTTCCTCCGATTTCATCGGTGCTTTCTCTCGGGTCAACGGAGAACAATCCAAAAGCGTATGCAAGGTCCCGCCCTTTCTCAGAGCCCGCGCTTGCCATATTCGGGACATTTGCCGCATTTCTTGGGCAGTATCCTCGGAAATTCAGGATCTATACCGCGGCCACATGAAATCACATCAGGGATTGGGGGTGACAGTTCCATGCTAAGCTCTGGTCCATATATGTGCCATGTGCGACCAATTGGCAGGGCCACCTTAGAGCCATTGTTAAGGGCAAAAAATGTCGGGTCTCGTCGGCCGCCGCTACAATCCGTGCAAATTCATGAGGGATCCAAATTTCTTGGGACCTTTCACGGTGTGGGTGTGGTCGAACATCGAGAGCGGCACGCATAAGACTTCACATAGGTTGCGTCTAAATGAGACCAAAACGCATCCCGGAGCTAGCCATCGAGAGGGAACAAGTCCTGCTTGTGGACGAAGACCGGGGCCCGCCCCTTCATCTGCTTCAGAACTCTGCGCTGCAAGTTGCGGATCCTACCCACCAAGGCACATCCCGTGCGCCGCATGCAAACTGGACCCACACCATGCATGCACGCATGGCCACGTAGAAAACCACCATTCAACCTTGACAATGTACATATGACACATGCGCACTCATTAGCCATCTAGCCCCTAGCCATGCAAACCTAGCCACCTAAACTCAAACCATGCATCGTTAGCCAGGTTGACCCACACCATACATCCAGCATTGACTCCACCATGGTTCGTTGGACCTTCGACGAGTCCCTTCGATATGGCAGGCATGCCAAAGAGACACACGGCTACACATATTGCACACCGAGATCCAACGTCATGCACTAGTGCTAGCAAACCTGTCCACATGAGCATCTCTGCGGATGGTGGACACTAGCTTGTTGTTTGGATCGAGAAGGCTAGCGGCGCATGTTTTGGCCCGGTTGGCTCGGGGTGCATGAAATGGGTCCAATGAAATACATGGCATCGCGTGGATCAACATTCCACTCCTCGGTACCGGACATCGGATATATGGCAGATGAATCCACACGGTTGCTGATGAAGTTTTGTGACAACCATTTGTCATTCCATTGTTTGTAAAGTTTTACAACATGTTTTAGGACAAATATAAAACATGACACGTGCAGATGAAACAAGCCTACAAATTCAGTTGTCCCACTGTATGATTTTGTTCTGTGTAATGAGGGAGCAGGTGCATTACACAATTTTTTGAAGGGAAGTTGCATTACTCCTAAATCATGGCTGTGCACGATCGGGCTATTCATTTTAGTGAGGAGTGAGAAGTTGTGTTTTGACGTGCCAAGACATGGTGGTGTGAACAACACACAGGGAGGTGTGAACGTGGCAACAACTCCTTTTGACTGACCAGGACCAAATCGGCGGCTCCGCTTCCCCATAGCACGCTCTGCTTCCCCGTAGCATTTACATCATCGCCGCCCCCCTCTTCCCGTCCTCTTCTCCATCCACAAATCCAGAAAGAGGGTTTTCTCCTCCCACGCCTCACCACTCGCCTTCCCATCCCGCTGCTGCTCACTTCCCATCGCTGCTCTCTTCCCGCCGCTGCACCTCCGTCGTCGAGATGCCCAAGCGGACCATGGGAGGGAGGGCCGACGCCGGGGCCGACGCCATGGCGCACGAAGCATCCAAGCACCGTGCGAGGCCGCACATGGAGAAACCCCTCCCCGTCGGCGAGGGGTCCAGCCGGCAGCAGGGTGGCCTTAATGTCGTCGACCACGTCCAGGCTCCGGTGCAGGTGTCACCTATGCCGGAGCAGGTGGCTCCTCCGCCAGAGCAGGTGACTCCTCTGCCACGCCATCTGCCTCCTCTGCCACGCCATCTGCCTCCTTTGCCGCAGCCCGTGGTCAACGTCGACGGCGACGAGGACGAAGAAGAGGTCAGTCCTATTTTAGGAAATATCCTAGGTTTCCTAGTTCAGTCCCTTATCTCTTTTTGGGCATGGCTAGGGTTTCTGCTTTTAGTCCATCTATGAAATCCGTACCTAGATTCATTAGATCCGGTAGGTTTCAAGGGCGATTCCACATGGGCGCATGGGTGTGGGGGTCCGCTCCTCATTGTATAGGTTATCTTGTTTTTAAGATCTACCAACCACTCCGATCCATGGCTCTCGTGCATCCAAAATGTGTTGATGCCAAATTTTAAGATAGATCTACCAACCATCCAAATTTTTTTGCCCAAAATTTCTTATATATGGTTCTTTTATTGCTAAATTGACTAAAAGTGGTGCAGTTTGTGCACTAAACTTCATGTCAATTTGTATAAAACTAGCCTCTCACGCTTAATCCAGCAGACACATTTTTTGTCATTCAATTTTCTCAACACCAATTGCTTGATTCCTTAAGTCCAATTACCATAGGCTGTAATTTTGTAGACTTGTTATCATCCATACTTGAAATATATTATTTGGTTGCTTATTTTCAGCATAATATTTTCTGCAAGTAAAGGATAACAACACCATGCCTTGTTTACGAAAATGTGATAGTAAATAATCTTCATTTTCTGTCATTCATGTGTGTACTGTCAGTATGATGGAAAAATAATATTTTCACATGAACATTTTAGATATTACTCCTACCTCTTTAATTTCTTGAGTAACAGAAGCACAGTGAGAAGAATGCCTTCTGGACTCAAAAGCCAACTTGATCTCAGCCGTTTGAAAAATATTGTTGTGGTTTTGGTTTGCAATATAAATTTTTGAACACCCAACTTTGAAATCCTGGGTCCGAAGCTGTGTTGCTAGGTTGCATTAGTTTAGGCATGTATATGACATTTTTTGATCTATATAAAATATTCTGCTATTTAAGTGGGACTAGGTAGCTGCTCTGGCTCCTCAGATGGAGTAGGTGTCTCCTCTGCCACGGGTGACGCCTCCTGTGTCCGAGCCTGTGGTCGTCGGTGATGTCAACAAAGAAGATGTTAGTCATCTATGTCCTTTAATTTTTTTTAATCCTAGTTGTGCTCTGGTTAGTCCTTTTGTCTATTTTTGGTGAAGGCCAGGGTTTCTTTTTATCTTTGACCGATGGACTCCATATCAATATTCTGTAGATGTGTTAGGTAACTAGCTAGGTTACATGTGTTGCGCCCTATATAGGCAATGTTTTGATCTAGATAAATTATTCTGCTAAAAAATCCACCTAGGTTTGGTGACTGTGCTAATACAAATACGTTAATACAAATACGTAGCTTGACCTTGGAATTGAATTGCCTACGTAGGTGATTGTGAAAATATTTTCTGCAACTTAAGGATAACAACACCATGCCTTGTTTATGAAAATGTCATATTCTTTTGTCATGAAGTAAATAATCTTCATTTTCTGTCATTCATGTCAGTACTGTCATTACGATGGACAAAGAATCTTTTCACATGAAAATTTTAGATATTACTCCCTCCATTTGAAAAATATTGTTGTGGTTTTAGTTTGCAATATAAATTTTTGAACACCCAAGTATGAAATCCTGGATCCGCAGCTGTGTAGCTAGATAACATTTATTGAGGCATGTATATGTCAGTTTTTCACCTATATAAAATATTCTGCTATTTATGTGGGACCGTGTAGCTGCTCTGGCTCCTCAGATGGAGCAGGTGTCTCCTCTGCCGCGGGTGACGCCTTCAGTGCCCGAGCCTGTGGTTGTCGGCGATGTCAACAATGAAAACGTTAGTCATCTATCTCCTTTAATTTTTTGTAAAATCCTAGGTGTGCTCTGGTCAGTCCCTTTGTCTATTTTTTGGGAAGGCCAGGGTTTCTCTTTATCTTTGATCGATGGACTCCATATCAATATTCTGTAGATGTGTTAGGTAACTAGCTAGGTTACATGTGTTGCACCCTGTATAGGCAATATTTTGATCTAGATAAATTATTCTGCTAATAAATCCACCTAGGTTTGGTGACTGTGCTAATACAAATACATAGCTTGACCTTGGAATTGAATTGCCTATGTAGGTGATTGTGAAAATATTTTCTGCAACTTAAGGATAACAACACCATGCCTTGTTTATGAAAATGTCATATTCTACGGTCATGAAGTAAATAATCTTCATTTTCTGTCATTCGTGTCAGTACCGTCATTACGATGGACAAAGAATCTTTTCACATGAAAATTTTACATATTACTCCCTCCATTTGAAAAATATTGTTGTGGTTTTAGTTTGCAATATAAATTTTTGAACATCCTAGTATGAAATCCTGGATCCGCAGCTGTGTAGCTAGGTTACATTTATTGAGGTATGTATATGTCAGTTTTTGACCTATATGAATTATTCTGCTAATAATCCGAAACAGGTAGCTCCTCTGGCTTCTCTGCCAGAGCAGGTGGTGGCTCCTCAGCCTCAGCCGGGTGTTCATCTGCCGCGGTTGTTACCTCCCCTGCCCCCACCTGTGGTCATCACCGACGAGAACGAAGAAGAGGTTAGTCATCTATCCCCGTTATTTATTTATTTATTTATTTAAATATTTTGTAATATCCTAGGTTTTCCCTGGTCAGTACAAGGCAAATAAGGTATTAGAATGTTGAGTACATGTGTGGTTGCACTTGATCGATCTTTGGTTTACATGTTCCATAAGTGGTTGTGGCAATGATTTTAAAAATTGATTATCTCTAAGCAATGGCTATTTTAGAAAGAAATTGGATATCATTAATGTTTTACTTCAGTTGTTTTAATTAGTTCTTTTGTAGGGTTTTTATCATTTATGCCACCAGTTGTATCCCACTACTCAGTTTTTCCCTTAGAAGTTACAGCCGCTCAAAAATGCCATGTATCAAAAATGCCATCGTTCCGTTAGATGTTTGCTCAATAATGTCATTAGACATTGTTATTTTCATGTAAATCTTGTTAACCATCAAAAGTGACAAAAAAAGCCCAGGCCCACATTTCAGTTCTCTCTATCTCACAATGATAAGTGTGGCCCCACTTGTGAGGAGTAAGTAAGCGAATAATTTTACAGGAAAATAAGAACGTTGTTGGGATCAAGTGGGCCCACACTTTATTGTAGTGAGATAGAGGGAGAGATGGCATGTTGGTCCATAGGTACTGATGCCATTATAGCATGTCAAGATAGATTTCATATCACAATAATGATGTGTGGTGGCATTTTTGAGCATGTGTCTAACGAAGCGATGGCTTTTTTTAGCAGTAGAAATTCCTAGTGGTGATACTTAGTTGTGGGCACAACTGGTGGCATAAATGATAAAAACCCTTTTTTGTAAGTACAACATTTGGGATCACATATTGTTAGAATTCATAATAATTAACTACTTTACCTAGAAAGTTGAATGGTTCAGGAACATTGATGGGTGGGGTATCGATCAACAGGGGAAACTTCCACAATGATAACATGGGGACTTTCAATATCCATCATCATAAGCACACAAAATTCTAACCGTAAATAGATACAGCTCATGAGCTATTTTATCTAGTCATTCATGTAAGTTATAAGTCTTTTTTTTGCATTAGTACATCTGTATGCTACTCTGCCATGTTACATCATCAGTTCATGCATTTTTACGTAAGAAGTGAATTTTGTTGCACTAAAGGGTTATTTGGTTTGTGACTAACTTTGCCAAAGATTGCCATACCTAAGGTTAGGCAAATTTGACCAACTTAAGTGAGTGTTTGGTTCGAGCCACACCTTAGGCAAGCCACACTTGGGTCCCATATGGCATACACACAAAAAGTGTGGCAAGGTTCCCTTAGGCTTGCCAACTTGTGGCTCTCATTTTGATGAACTAACCTTAGGCAACCTTGGGGAAAATGTGTGGCAAAATGTGTCAATGCTAGTGCTCTCTTCGACATGTATGGTTGATCCTTCATTTTTTTACTATATGGTACTATCCCATTTAGTTGCTTATGTAGCAACTAATAAGTTATGCATTTATTTTTTCAACGTCATTTCAAGATATTTTACGTTGTCATCAAGTACATTATGTTTCATAGACTATGTGCCTCCTGAATTATCATATTAAATATACTTACGCAACATTTTGTACTACATGTAGGTCCTAAGTGACGATGTTGACAGCGACCCAGAAACCCAGAGGGTCTTCAGGAGGCAGAAGGTGAGGCAGCTGGATAGTGGTGAGCTCGAGAAAGCTGTGAGGCCTAGATTCGGAAACGGCTACGGATGCCCTTTCTGCAACAAGGTGATGAATCGCGACCTGTCGAGTACCATCAACCATGCAGTCGGAACATCCCAAGGCAGCACCAAGAATGGCTACGCTTTCAGGGTGAAGCATGATGCGTATGTCGACTACTTGATGAGGCTTCTTTGAGGCTTTAGGGAAGTGCGCACCCTCGCAGCTAGAACTGATGCTCTTTTGGTTTTAACTATACTAAGTACTACCCTATGCTATACTTTGTTGGTGAAGGTTTATGGTCGAAGTATGTGCACCAGTACTACTAAGTGGTGCTTGCTTTTGTATATATGGAAGATGGTCGAACTATGTGCACCAGTACTACTAAGTGGTGCTTGCTTTTGTATATATGGAAGCGTTGAACTAAGGTAGAACTATGTTAATTGGTGTGTGGTTTGGCATCTTTGCTTGTTAAACTCGTGCTTATTAATCATCGGCTCATTTAGATTAAGTAGCATAAAACCCTGATTGGCAGGTTTGTTTGAAGCTAGTTAAGCTTGTGAGCGCTCGTTAACAGATTCTAATGTGTTATGGTATACATGATGAGTGTGTACATGTGGTTTTCAAGAAGGAAGATGGTGACTCAAAAAGGAAATGCACTAGTTTGCTGCCTAAGGTGTTGATCCAAGTAATACTAGAACAATCGTGTTTGTGGCGTGGCTACATGATGATCACAAAGTCTTGATCCAAGTAATACTAGATCACTTGATGACAATTTGATCTGATTTTTTCACAAGTCTTGGGCATTAGGGTTTGTGTACACAATTTTCAATCCCCAACCCAGTTCCCGATCTTTGGATTGCATCACGTAGATGTACAAAATCTAGTTCCTAGGTCCTGCCCCAAGCGCCTACGCTTGTGATTTTTTTTCTAGGGTCCTAATTAAGCGCCTAAATAAGCGCCGCTGCATTGAAGGTGCCCAACGCCGACCAATCAATTTTTCTCATAAGTATTTTTGCTATAGTAGGTAACTACCAATTACTCCATGCATCTCTCCCCCTAGGTTACACTCTAAAACCATCGCCGCCGCTCACACGCACGCCTCCCTGCCGCCGGATATGAAATCCACTCGTGGAGGTCGATTGGCTGTCATGACAGATCGTGGCCATGGACGTGAGGGGCCTGTCATGGACGGCATCGTGACAGATCGTGGACTTGCGGGGCTAACCACTGACGTCGACGAGGTGCAGTACTCCATCGTCGATCACAAGCAGCAGCACATGCACGGCATGGACTGGAATTCCGTTACGATAATTTTAATTTTTTAACCCTAGATCTATCTTCAAGTTTTAGGTTAGAGGTTAATCATTAAACCATCAATACATTGTTGAATTGGCATAATGGAATCTACGTCTAAATATAATGATGATCATCAGTACGTAATGATCATTATTTATTCAATCAATCGTTGAGAAATTAATGGTTCATCCACTCCACAATTTAGTGCGTTTTGGAATTATGCCAAAAGTCAGACATCATAAAGGTTGTGCATGTTTATTGACAAATTTTTTTAAAAGTACATCATATGATTTATGCTTTCATATGGATTTGATATTGAATTTTTCTCCTTAAATTTTCAAAGTTAATAAATATTTACTTTGAAAATAATTTATAGGCACTACAGTATGAAACTTAGGGAATATTAGGTACTGTAAACAATGGTGCAGCTTATATCATACATAATTTAAACTTGAAGCCTTATTCTCATGATTATGCGGACATTTTCCAAGGAGAGATGGATGCACACACTCAGAAAACCCTTGAAGAATTGGAGAATGGACAGTGCAATGTGCTTAAGCGTATGGCGTATCGTTGCGCGTTCTGTGGCAAATATCTGGACCCGGCTTTCGTTAGTATTCTTGAGCATGCCGAAGGAGTTGCCAAAGGATACCAAATGAAGCATGCTGTGAGGGAGAAACACAAGGCGCTAGCCCAATATCTCAGGAATTTGTCGGACAAAGAGAAGGTCCGAAGAAGGCGTTATGAGAACCAGCATGCCAAAGAATAGATGAATAAACGAAACCCTGAAGAAGTTCTGGTTGGCATAAATAGTCATTTCCGGTTGTTTTTTTTAAATACCAATGAATATTTTAATTGTCATAGTTTTTGGAGAAATGTTTAATTTATTATATTTAATCATAAAAATGCATACAATTCAATTATTGATTTTTTCAAATATTTGTAACCTTGCATCTAATAGTTTACCATTTTATTGGTTAACCATTATTTTCATATATACATACTGTGGAGTGCTTGAAATTATTCAAGATCAATTGGTGTACTGAAAGACTCATCCACATGCAATATGAACAGCAGTGTATTTTTAGGGTTTCTTCAAAAGAACACCTGTGGTCATGCTGATCTTTTTTGTTTGGCCAGAATTGGTAAAGCTGCCAAATCTGCCTCTGATCCGGCCCAACACTTTGTTCATTTTGTGGGCCTGCACAAGTGGGAGGCAGAGAGAAAAGTGGGCGATGGCCCCAACCCCAACCCCACCCCCATCCCAATCCCACCCCACTTTGTTCCACTTTGTTCTTTGCAGCTACAGAGAGGCAACGCGGAGGGCGACGGGTAGTGTTTGCCAAGCTGTCACCTTGGCCGCCCCTATCGTCAAATCCGCCGGATCCGCGAGGCCACCCACTCCCCCTGCTCCGGCCACGATTCTGCACTGCTTCATCGACAGCAAGGTCAGACAACTGCAACTTTTCATCCCCAATCCTGGTCACGCCGCCCGAAGCTTCGGTGGTGCCAGATTCAAACAAGTCCACTCCAAGGTAAGATTGATCTTCCCTGCCCTTCGAATGTCGATCTGGTAGCTCCACCCATGTTTAAATCTTACACTTGCTTGTGTGCATATTTCGGGTATTCGCAGATTTACTGTCAACTAGTAGGTCATATTGTAACAAGTAATTTTACAGCAAGATAATCTGACAATGTACTACATAATCATGGTTTTACTTGTTCGTATGGGTAGTAATGGGTAAACACTTTCGTGCAAGTAAGAGAAAAAGGTGGGTGTTGGCCAGCATACCTTGCTCGTCGACATAGCCTTCACTATGCTATCATCTTGCTTGACAGATGCTATCAAGTAGTTTTTCCCTCTGGAAAATGACCCCCCACTTCTAGATATAGAAAAAGTATATTCATAGGAGCATACACATGTTTTGGTTTGTTCGGATAGTTTGAAGACTGTGTATATGTATTTGCTGATGCTTAGTTATTAAAAACTAAAAAGGCGAGCACAGAAGCAGTCCATGAGGAAATTTGTAATGATGGAATGAGGATCGGTTATAGTTTCATGTATTACTCGATGGTAGTATGATGATTAGTGCATATTTTGAAGGATTTGTCAAGTATAGACTGCTCTTGATTGGTGCATGTTTTTGATGATATGTGCACACATTTAATATTTTTGGTTGGTGCATATTTTTTGCTGATTGTTGTTACTGCTTACTTGAATTATGTCAGCCTATCTCCAAGATATGGTATGGGCTTGTTGGGGTCAATGAAAATTTGCTGTTGGATTTTCTCACTATTGGATTTTCTGCCATTATACATCATAATCATGATTTTACTTGTTGGTATGGGTAGTAATGAGTAAATAAATTGCAAGTATACAAAAGGGTGAGTATTGGTCAGCATACCTTGCTCGTTCTCATAGCCTTCACCATGTTGTCATCTTGCTTGAGAGATTGTATCATGTCCTTATTCTCACGGGAAATTGGAAAATTAACCTCCACAGCTACCTCTAAAAATGGTATGTACAGCAGCAAATGCATTATTTGTTTTGTTGGGACAATTTAAAGACATTATATTTATTACCTGATGGTACCACACAATAGCCCATCAGGAAATTTGCAGTGATCAAAGGCAGATCAGTTATAGTTTCACGTATTGCTTGATGAGAGCAGTCAATCATGGTTCATTTGTACATGGCTACTAATTGGTTGGTTACCAAGTTTTCTTGTCTAGCTCACAAAATTGTAACCTTGAAATATCCTAATTGGTTATGTCTACCCAATGATTATGAGTCTAACCACTAGTCTTGACTAGTCGTGTGAATAGTTGTCAACTAGCTTTTTCATGTAGATGTTTATACATGAACTATGTACTTAGCGAGAAGTATGCGAAAAGATTATTCACATTGTATATGGTGCTAACAAGTCATAATGGAAGACTGATTTCATATATCAATAACTAACATTTGTTCATTGCAAGGCATGCAACAGGTTTGAATGGCAAGGGAAACCATCCTCATCAGCAGTGAAGAGAGTGATCACCAGACCACCTCAGATGATGCTTCAGATGGCACTTCACGTGGGAGTGACGGCAATAGCACTGATGGCGAGACCTCTAGTGACTATGACACTGATGATAGTTCTAATGGAGATGGAGATGTGGACCGCGATCCTATCTTGGCACTATGGGGTAAAGTTCTATATGGCTGGTCAGATATTAAATGAACCATGAAATATCAAAAGTTGATGTTTGAGTGACACTTGATTACCACACATTACTCTATTTGGGTTCTACATGACCTTCCAAATCAACATTGACTGAACTAGAGCTTACCTAGAGGAGTGTTTAATTGTTAGTTTAAAAAAATCAAATATACAATTTGCCCATGTTTCTACGAGATATTGCTGGGTGGATGTGATTTGGTTATCTATGTCCTTCATTTCTTGATCATTGGAGTAGGCATTGATCATTAATCCAGTGCTGATGTTCTAGATCTTACGTGTGAAATTATTTACTACTCTGTCATCTTAATTTTTTTTATACAGGTCCGGGAATCATTGTGAGAAAAGGAACTTTCGAGGATCTCATCTTCTACGGCAACCATGTATCGCTAAACGAGGATCGGTGGGACTGTCTCAAATCCATAGTAAAGCAGTGCCAACCTCCCATACCATACTATGTCAGCACCGTCACTCGCTCGACAGTCATCACAGGGAAGAACAAGATGGTAAACACTTGGACTTTTCTTTTTGCAAATCATACTTCACTAGTGAAAATGCCATCATGTAGAGACAGAGAGGAGGACAGGCGTGGTTGTGCAAATCATACTTCCATTTTTTGTGTGCAAGTCATACTTAATTTTTTATGTAACATTATTTATTTCCCTGTGCAATCAGATG